CCAGCACCACATGCCAGCCAGCCCCGCCCCCTGGTGGGCTGAGCTGGCCACACACACACACACACACACACACACACAAATAAATAAATAAATAACAAAAAAACAAAAGCAGTCAGGCTCAGGTTGCTGTGTTTTGATCCCCACAACTCAAGCCAGCCAAAACCTGCCCTGAAGGCATTCGGAGCAAAAAAAAAAAACTGTACTACTGCTTTGCTGTGTGTGTAGGTGTGTGTTTTACACTATTTTTCCAAGTCAAATATTCATCTACAAGATCATTTTTGGTGGACGAGGGGAATTAACAACTGGACTCAAGGAACACTGAGCTAACTATATTATCAGTTCTTTTTAAAAAAATATTTTGTTGTGAGACAGGGGCTCTCTACATTCCTCAAGCTGGGCTCAAACTATTAATCTTCCAGTCTGAGTCCTGCAAATAGCTGGCACTGAGCTGTACAACACCATGCACAGCTAATACTATTTTTCCTTTTAATGGCTTAGTTATATTTATGACATGAATACCCTAAAACTTATTAATCAAATTCTTATTCATGAAACAGGTAAATTACATAGTGACTCCCTGTCTCAAAAAAAAAAAAAAAAGAAGAAGAAAAGAGGCTAGTCAAATAGCTCAGTGGATTAAAGTGCGTGCTTAGGCACAGGGGTGTGGGGTGGGTGGGTTCAATCCCTGGGGCATGCTGAGATGACAATTGATACTGGGCCTGGTGGCACATGGCTGTAAACAGGCAGATCACTACAAGTCCAATCTAGTAGTGAGACCCTGAACACCCTGTAGACGTAAAAAAAGAAAGAAAAAAAGAATAACAAACCAAAAAAAAAGGGAGAAAAATGCTTTTTTTGGGCTGGGGATTTACCTCAGCAGCACAGCGCCTGCCTGTCAAGGATAAGGTCCTCTGTTCAAATTCCCAGTACCAAAAAAATAAAAATAAAAATAAAATGCTTTTGCTGAAAAATAAAAAAGTGACTTTTTACTTGGGTCTATAGATACCTAATGCCTAACTAAAAACAGAACTTTGGCGTTTATTTTGAATCTCTCTCCTTTATTACCTTCAAACTTTGGATCAGTCCCTCCTCAGTTCTGCACGTGGGCAGTTAATCATTTAGACAATATTTGTCGAAAAGATAGTAATACAAGGTTTCTTAGTTCTATCTCATCCATATCAAAACCTGAGGAAAACAAGATAAAGAAATTTGTTGAGGCATCCAACCACCAGCCTATGGCCCTAGAATGGGTGCTCAGAAGTCTCCAGTCATTGCCCTAAAACTGCAGTAACATAGGACTCCAGCAGAGCCTCTGCATACCTGAGGCTGTGCTTCAAAGCAGGAGCAGTCATCTCCTAAGAACCAGAGACCCTTGAACAGGAAGGACTTCCACTGAGATGCTGTACGCAACCAAGACTGAGTAATGATCAAGCAGACCCTAGGCCGCTACTGACAGACTACCCACCAGGCTTCTTCCTTTCCTCTGGGCCAGCCTTATCTTCTCCATCAGCCCTTTGCAACCATTAACTCCTCAAGCTTAAATTCCTTCTCCATTTTCTCTTATTTTCCAGTTAAAACCTTGCCTATAAAGTCATGCTGATGGCTCAGCTTAAACTTTCTGTTTTCACTGAAACAAGGACCCACATTAGCTAGTGACATTAGATGATGCTTTTCTAAAATGGGACAGAGACCTGACAAAAGCAATAACAAGCAAAATCAATCAGTAAGAGCTTCTGCAACGCTAAGAGGAGCTCTGCTGAGGGAAGTGCGGAATGAAGCCACCATCAGAGAATGATCATCCAGAACAAGGTCAGAAATGTGTTAAATAAACACTTCACAGGACCACGGTGCCACCAATTCAGCTACTCAACACCAAAGCTCTTGTTGAGGAGCTACAGGCCAAAAACAAAAAAAAGGTACCACAAAAAACAAAACAAACAGGGGCCCAAAGGTTGTGGAGATCACTCATCCTTGATCTCACATGTGAAGTCTTGGGCTGAGGAGATGGCTCAGTGGAATAAACGCTTGCCTGGCAAGTGCAGGAGCCCGAGTTCAATCCCTGGTTCTGCCACAAGAAAAAAAAAAAAATCAAATGTGAAGTCTTACCAAGAAATACTATTTGGAAAGAGACCTGGAAAGGACCAAAAAGGTGATGATTTCCACAGGAGAGATAAACTCAGGTGCAAAAGCACCTACCTGCAAGCACAAGGTCCTAAGTTCAATCCCCAGTACCCCCCCAAAAAAAGGGGGGGAGGGGGATAACTGGGTTACTGCTGAGTTCAGTGGTACATCACTCATGCAAAATTTATATTCTATAACCAGTGCTATAAAACATATATAAATAAGTAGCGAGAAGAGATGAGTCTACAAACAGGAATCTTTTAGCAAACCATGAGAATGAGGCTCTGGCAGCTATCAGCCAGGACTCACAAATGGTATAAGTATCTGCAGTAACGACTGTAGCACCATCTACAAATACCGATGATAGAGATCCAAACCTAAAAATCTCATGAGGAACCTGAGAAGTGTCTTTTTGTTTTTCTTTTGTTTTTTTTTTAACTTTTAATCTTCTGTTTATTTGGTACAGGGTCTCAATACACAGGTCAGACTTGTCGTGATCCTCTTTCTGTGGTTGGCACAGTGTGCTTGGGGTTCTTAGGCCCGCAGGACATGTGGTACGAGGCCGGCAAGACATGTGGTACTGGGGATCAAGCCCGTGTCCTTGCACTTACAAGGCAGGCCTTTACACCGCTGAGCTATCTCTCCAGGCCTGAAGTTTCAAGCACCAGAAGAAAACAACTTCTGCCAGGCATGGTGGCATAGCCAGGCATGGAGGTGCATGTCTGTAATCACAGCACTT